CCCCCCCCCCCCCCCCCCCCCCCCCCCCCTTGTTTTTGTTTCCTTAGAGCTGTATCGTGATGTTGAGAGACGGAAACCCCGGGGGCCGGGGGAGGCTGGCGATCGTCACCAACGCACCTAAAGACGCCACAGCAGCAGCAGCAGCAGCTAGGGTAAGGGCCGCGTGATCGACCAAGTTATCAAGTCATGGCAACACACACACCTTACGGCCCGCAAAGACACCCGAGATTGATATGGCCAAGCGTCTGCAGATAGCGCCCGCCTTTAGGAACCTCTATTTAGTAGTTTTGGTCAAGGCTGGGGTTCTTACAGTAGTTGCTCTTGCGGGGGCTACAAATTGCCGCAATCTTTAAGTAGGTTTTAGCGTAGAGGTTGCAAACCGGGCTCACAAACGGTGGTCGGGTTCTCACGTCTGATAAAATGTTTAGCATGAAGTTCTTGACGGCAAAGTTCTCAAGGTGCGGTCGCTATCTGTACTCACGGAAAGGAGGCTAGAGTCGAGGACCTCCCCGGGGTTGGAGTTTATTTGATTTGGCGGAACCCTGTTTTTGTTTTGTTTTCTTAATATGACCTTACGAATCCATCTCTGTCTAAGAAAAGAGTCTAAGAGAGATTGTTTTCGATGTTAGGTTGCGGTGTGCCCGACTCTCTTTTGAGGTAAGGGTTGGACTCGTGCACCGCGACTATAAGTGTTCGGGTATGTAGTGCTCGACAGACGTGGTACACTCAAGAGCTCTCCAGCGTGGTACTCACCCCCTCCACCCCCCCCCCCCCCCCTCCCCATTCTGTTCTGCAGCCCGGTAGCGGCGGCAGCAGCATCGATGGCGGTATGCCGAAGCCCTACCATCGTCAGTGGCAAAGCATGGCCGTGTGCGCCCTCTGTGGCGAGGGCCCGGATCGATCGAGGCCGCTCACTTCTTGCGGGTGAGCTGTTATTAGTAGCTGCTTGTGGTTGTTGACCACACCCTTGTTGGCTTTTTTTTGTCTAGAATTTGCGGCATGTCCTTCTCTGTCTGCACACGTCCGTCTCCTGCCCTTGCTTTTTTTGTTCGTGTTGTGATTTTTATGAGGCGTCATGGTGCGGCGTCATTTTGTCAATTGTACTGCTGCTGTGTTTGAAGGCGACAGCAGTGATGTTCCCTGGGCCATTCCGCACCCACCGCCACCGCCACCTTCTCATGTGCCACGTCCCCAACTTCACACTGAATCCTGTTCTCGACCTCTTTCTACTCCCACAACATCATATAGTACCAGCAACAAGTTCCTGACCCCCCCCCACGCTCCGTCCTCTGGAGCACGCGTGGTCAATGGTCTGTAACAGATAAGACATGAAAACGAGTACCCCGCCCCCCCCCGCCTCCCCGCCCCTCTCGGCTTGAAAACTCTAGGTTGTGTCCGCGGTCGTATCACGGTGGCTGCTTAGAAGCTTCCGGCGTGGACTACGACGCCACAGCTGGAGAAGGCGTGTTTGTGTGCCCTCAGCACCGGTGCGTGGCGTGCACGAAGGCGGCGGCAGGGCGGGGGCTGCTGTTCCGCTGCCAGGCGTGTGCCAAGGCGTACTGCGAAGACTGCCTCCCCGGGGATGAGGTTAGTGGCACAGACCAAAGGATGGGTGATGTGGAGGGAGGATTGGGATGGTGAGGTTGATGAGACGTACTACATGGGATAGACCAAGGACGGGATGAGCGATAGGCCAAGGTGGGATACGTGAAGGGTACATTCGAGAATGGATGAGAATACGGAGTGTTTTTGAAGTGGAAGAGGCAGACACCGGGTACTGCTTGAACATAGCTCCGCCGTACAGTAACCGTTTTTTTCCATGGGGGAAACGAAGAATGGATGAGAAATACGGAGTGCTTTTGAAGTGGGAAGGCAGACAGACACTGGGTACGCTTACCACCGTACTGCTGTAACCGTTATTTTTCTTGTCCCTGGGGGATTTTCCGTGCAGGTGGAACCCCTAGCGCGAAATCCGCAGCTGGAGGCCCTCGGCTATCTCGCCAAGCAAGCGTACTGGATCCGGTGCCAGCCGTGCGTCAACGGGGAGCTGCAAGCGAAGCTTCGAGCCAGTATCACCGGCGCTTCCGGTAGCATGGACGGGAGAGAAGGCTCTGACGCCCGACAGGACGAAAAAACAGAAGGAGGCGTTGGCGACGAGGCTGGGAGAGGGGGCAACTCGGCGGAGGTTGGCGGAGAGGTGGATGCGGCGGAATCCGAATCGGAGTCTGAGTCGGATTCCGAACCGGAACCAGAACCGAAACCGAAACCGATGCCGTTCGCGGTGGCTCTGACGCTGCTGCGGGATCATCCATCGGCGAAGGCGGCCTTCCTGAAGCCTAGGTGAAAATGTGTGAACATTTTGAGTCCTGTTTATATACTATGGTATGTTTTTAAGTGACCGTAGGCTCTGTGCATTATTCCCGTCGACCGACTTCCAAAGCCCTCCTGCACCTACCGGCAGGTGACGGTTTGGAGTCTCACTGTTTTACCTTAGGTTGCGTTATGCCACCCCCCCTGGACCGACTTTCAAAGCCCTCCTGCAGCCAAATGTGACGATTATGAGTCGTACGGTAATTTTAGTGCACCGTAGGTTGCGTTAGACACGCAGGAGGAAATGCGGAGGAGAACAAGGAAGAACCTGTGTTTACCTACCTCCTGTGTGACTCCGGCTGGTGCCTCCAAAATGTGTACGTACACTGGCGCTCGGAGCAGCTCGGACGAAAATAGAAAAAATAGAACAAATGGGAACTTGGGGTTGTGGTGTTACGGTGTTACGGTGTTTTTCCCTGTGAGATTCTCCGTGCGATTACACAAATGGTGGTTGTGCATGCTTGAGGGCAGTCTCGAATCCTGATCATGTTGATCATGTCGGAATTTATGGATTTATTGTACTTGGACTGCTGCACGTGCCTCCGCCCTTTTCTTTTTCGATAGCAGCAGGATCTACAAAACAAGTAGCGAGAAACGGGCGAAAAAAGGGAGGGTAGAAGTCACGCTTGTATGTAGGTTGGCATCACTTTGTCGCTACGAAACCGTTTTAATATCTCACACTCTTGAGGCTGGCGCCAGAATAGGCGGATCGACCCTCATCTATTGTACTTTAGACACACACTCATTTCACGATAGAATCAGCATCGACCGCGCTAACAGGCCGACCCGTGAAAAGACGCCAGCCTTGACGCGGGATAAAAAAAAAACTCGAACGATCACGCTTTTTTAACCAACCAGTTCTACCCTGTGCGTGTTGCGCGTGGGTGCTTTTTGTTGCGGGTTCTTGTTCGCAGCGGTACCCCCGCGTCATCAGCAGCCGGGGGTTCTTCGTCCAGCCCAAAGCGACCGCGGAAAGCAGGGGCGGTTAGCGCCGATCTCCTCGCGAAGAAGGTGGAGGCGGGAAGGTACCGCAGCGCTACGGCTTTCGAGAGCGACGCCAGGCAGATGCTCACCCAGGGGAAGGGGCCTCGGAGCTTGAGCCCCGAACAGGTATGTGACCTGGTCTGTGCAGCGAGTTTTCTTTTTTGTGGTGTTAACATGAACATGTTGCTGAGTTTGTTGCCGTCGACGGAACGAACCGACTGTTGATTGTAGCGTTGTGTAACGGTAGGAATTGTAGGGTATTGTGTTGTCGGAAAACTGGGGTCATGGGAGTGCGGAGAGGTCCTCCAAGGTTAGAAATCTTACAAGTACTCTGTTGACCCCCTTCTTTGTGTGTTGATTGGCGCGATGTTGAGGAGATGGTTGGTGGTGGGTGTGAGTGTGGCCTGTGCTGTGTGTTGGCTGGTGCGACTTTTGAGGAAGATGCTTGAATTCGTGTACCGGGGTGGTGTGGGTAAGAGTGTGGGTCGTAACTGCAGATTTTTCGTGCGGAATGGTCGATGGTCGATGGTCGATCGGTGGCCGCAATGAAGCACACACGTGTGGTCGCCCCCAGCACTCTTGGCTGCACAGCAGTTTTTTTGCCGTGAAGTGAATCGAACAATCACTCATGTGTGCCGGCCAGACACTAACCCCCCGTTGCTTGTCGCCCCCCCCCCCACACACACACACGCTGGCGGGACCCCCTATTCATTTTTCTCTACAACTTGGACAACGCCACAGAAAAAGATGGTGGCGTTTTTCGAGCAAGAGATTTTGCCGAAGCTCCTCATCAAGTCGTGACGGCGTGATGGATGGTCCGTCTGGTCTTCCACATGGACGGACCGATCGATCAACGTATGTATGGACAAATCGATCGTGGACCGAAAACGAGTTTTTCTTCTTGCTTTTTTCCCCTCCTACCCAAGCGGCCACGCCCAAGGAAGGGAGTCTAGTCCAAGGTTGGGCTGCTGTGGCAATACAGAGCAGCTTTCTTTGAATTTTGTCGAGCTTTTGTTTACACGTACGTCGTCGTCGTGTCAGGGAACCGTCGCCGGTACGTAGCGCTTGTACCTGGTGGGTGGTATGTACACGGGGTGTTTAGCTGGTGGGTGCTGCCGACCGGGGCGTTGCTACTGCTGCCGGCGCCGCTGCTTCTGCTTCTGCTGCTGTGGTTGGTGGTTGCTGCTGCAGCCAGCAGCTCGTGGTGGTGACGAAAGGCCGAAAAGCGTTGATCGCGCTGCCACGACATGCGGTGCTGTTTCCTCGGTTATGCGGGTGCAGTCGGCGTGAGGGCTGCGCTTTTTTTGCTGCTGAGTGAGGCTAAGCTGATTGATGCCATCCGTGGTACTCGTTCGGGCGCGCTTGGTCGGGGCCTTGCATTGTATTTTGTTGCTTTTCGGGGTCATGTCTTCATCTGTGTTCGATTGGTCGGTACTGTTTTTCTCGTCTTTCCGCCCAGAACGGAAGAAGCCGCTGCCACTCGCTGCTGTAGATCGTTTTTGCGTCAATTTATTTTTGGCTCGTGTGCACCGGCGTGCCCTCCGCCACGTGTGTCCTGGAACAGGAGGGTGGCTTGGTTTCCTGTCTGTGTGCCCCCTTCGCTGTAAAGCGCTTTAGATGGTTGAGGGATTTAGCAGCACGTGTGAAGGAAGGTACGGGCCGTGTGTACGTGTCGGTATTGATGTATGTGTTGAGGCACGTCACAACTCTCTCCCTCACGCTCTAGATTACAGGCGTGGGCCAAGTGGTGCTCGCGAATGCACTTGGTTGAACGGACAGGGGGCTCCGGGACGTATCTTGGCGCGGATGACGGTTTCAGATGTTCTC